GCCAATGGGAAGGCGCCTGATTGAGATGACAGCGCTGTAGAGAGAGAGCAAACGCACGTGATCGCCAGTGATTGGTTTGCTTTTGTTTTTGGGAGTGTAGGCACTCCCAACATAAACGTGGAAGGATTGCGTGAATAGGAGCTGTGGAGAGCTTGTCTGCCGTAATCACTGGCGGTCACCGCCACCCTATGTAGCATACTGATTGAGTCAATAGTAAAACGCCTTAACGACAAGCCTGTAGCGAGGTGTCCTGCACCGCCCTCGCAACTTACGGCGATGCTCCACAGCGATTGGCCTCTACGCGACCATATAACGCGGTTTGGCCTCGAGTAGGTTTTTCAGGCTCGGGAGTGAGGCCGCGATAGACGACGAAGCATGTCAGATGTTGGCTTGGGACAGGATGCGTAAATCAAGGTGCCGTACGTTGTTAATTTTTAATTTCTTTAGAAATTTACTGCGAACTTGGAGTGGATCAGTATATCCTGTGTCTATTGGCTGTATGTGTTGATATGGAAGCTTAGCCCATTTTGCTCAACGTGAAGACTGTAAACGCTGTGGAGATTATTGAGCTCTAAGCAGTCAATAAGGACTCAGGTGGTATCAGACAAAGTTTCCGACATTGTGTCAGAACACAAAACAGACTGGTCCCATGACAGTGAAGCAACATGGTTAGAACCAAAAATGTGTGGTGCACCTAATCTGAATTTCCTGACTGTATAAGGGCCGCTCGATCAAACTTCAGAGGTTAATGAGGCGAAGTTTGACCTAATTAAAGGAGTGGCCCAGAATCATGAGGCACTCATAGCCGAGGACTTCAGCTCACCGATGGTCAACTGGAACGATTTATTCGTTAACTGTCCGCGTAACTGCTTTGACTGCGACTCTTAAAACTGGTCACTTGTCTGTTTCTCTCCCGGAATGTCACGCTTTCAACCAGAATCAGAGTCTCGAATGGCAAATTGCCTGGTCCTCGTCCTTACAAGACCCAATTAAGGCTATCGAACTTAGGCCCATAGCACCGCTTGGCAAGAGTGACCATGTCATGCTGGTTTCGAAATTCCGCTTATCCAGCCAACAAATGGAGACGACTGAGTCTTGCTGGATTTCTGGCGGGGAAATTTTGCTGTTATGCGAAGTGGGTGGAGTGCCTCGGGACTCTGTTCTCGGACCATTACCGTTTTTTATTTATACCAACGATTGTATGAGTAGACTGGACTGCAAGGTGTCCTGTTTCCTGGTAACGTCAAAGTATGGCGAACGATCAACTGCGGTAGTGATGAGCGGACCAAGTAAGGAAAACTCAGCCGTCTATGTCAATGGTCCGATAAATGGCTGCTGAAGTTTAATCCTGAGAAACGGCGTGCTGCGACTCAAAACGGATAAGGAGAAAGCAAATGGAGGGAAGCGTCATTACCTCCTTGACTTAAGGTACCTTTCAAATGGAGCGGAACAAAAAAACGTTTGAATAAAGATTTTGTCAGCTCCGAAGCCCTCTCCTCAGTGCATTAGGGTGCCAAAGAGCTGTCACTGTTATTTTAATCAGTTAAAGAGTTTCCATACACGTAGATTAGGTGCTATTTTGAAAAGTATTCGGGGTCTTTATCTGTTCGTAATTGGAATATGTTATTCAGTCATGGCAACCATGAGTAAAAAAGACTACAGGTTGCTGGAAATTGTTAAAATCAGGGCGACTGAAACCATAAAGGGCCTCGTAACTTTATTTCATAGATGCAGACTTGACGCGCTTAGGCTTTATCCTCCTGAGCATAGGCAGACCCGACTTGATCTCATGCAAACCTACCAAATTGCGGGGAATCGAGAGTGTGTTCTGCACTTTGGTGATTTCTCTACCTTGGTAATAACAATGACCCTGCATGGAACCTCCCACAAACTTCAAGGTGTCCTATTCCAACTGAATGTTTGTAGGCATTCGTCTTTATTGCGGGTCGTCGATGAGTGAAACGGACTTACGGAGGAAGTTACTATGTGCGACAACTGAAATAAAACGATTCTCTTATCTGATTTCTTTATGTCCGTGTATACCGAACAACTGTCTTTTGATGAGAGAGTAAACTGGAAAATTGACCCGCCTAGAAATACAACTAACACGGTGACGTTCACAATGGATACAGTAAGGGAAACTCTGATACAGCAGCGTTCAACTAAATCTCCTGACTCCGATGGCATATCCGCAAAAGTTCTGAAGGATCTCGTAGCCTAGCTGGCCTTCCCGCTCTCCAATGTCTCCGAAAATTCGATGGAAGCAGGGGCTCTGCCTACTGACAGGAAGCTAGACAAAATAAGCCCCGTATGTAAAGTGCAGGAGATAACCTCGCCAAATAGCTATAAACCAGTGAGTTTCACAAGAATTTGTTGCAAACTAATGGAGATAAAAACAAAATGGAACTGATAAGACCTATTGAGAAGAACAACTTGCTAAGTGAGCATCCACATGGACTTCGAGGTGGTCGATCCCATCTCACTAAACTGCCCACATCAATGGAAAGCTGGACAAAATCTCTAGAGGCGGGTTTGTCAGTAGACGCAGTCTACATTGACTTCAGCAAATAAATGAATAAACGTTTTAGTAAATACCCCTAGGGTCCCACCATAGCAAGCAAGAATAAAATGTTTTAAGGAATTTTAGAAAAGGTAGACAAAATTTTCAGAGTATTCAGTTCATGATTTTCGAATAAGCAGTTTGGTCAGAAAAATGATTAGCCAACAGTGAAAAACTCCTTTACCTAAAAAACGAAATGAATGATATTGGATTAAATTTAAAGGAGAAAAACCGTCGCTTATGAAAGAATAAGAGTGTAGGCGTGATCGGCCTGCGTGTGGTAGTGTAAAGCGCATTTCATAAAAAGGCAAGTATGTTGGTCAGACAGGGCTGGCCTGCATGCGGTGGTATACAAGGGATTCAATACGGACATCGTCAAAGGACACTCTCAAAGGAGTTGTAACAGACATCATGCATCGAAACTGTCCGACAAAGAGAGTCAAAAAGAATATTTGTCTTACTTGGATAACGCGGGATATAAAAAAGAAGAAAACCGGAAGAACAAAATACGGAGAAGGTATCCAACAACAAAACAACCATCTCATTTAGAGCAGTTTCGTCGAAAGCGAAACGATGTAAGGTCGGCTATCCGCAGGTCGCGGAAGGAGTATGAAACGCGAGTTATGGAACGGGCCGTAGATAAGTCAACAGTGCTCTTCAGTTACATCAACAGTAGGTTAAAGAACAAGGAGACGGTCTTAGTGTTGAAAGGAGAAAACAATGAGGATATCATCGTAAATGACGCTAAGGCAGAACATCAAAGCCGGTTTTTCGTATCCGTTTTCACCGATGAAACGGACTTTGATGCGTATGGATTGCCTGCTGGGACAACCGACGAAATAATAGAAAACATCGACTTCACGGAAGAAGATGTGAGGAAGGATCTTCTAGCGGTTAAAGAGGGTAAGTCTCCGGGTCTAGACCGAATTCAGACAAACGTTCTAAAGGAGTTGGCTTGCGAACTCGGCAGACCGCTTTGGCACATCTTCAGGTCGTCCTTTGACCGAGGCATTCTCCCCTCTGATTGGAAAATGGCGAACATATACTCCATTCACAAGGGTGGATCTAAAAAAAGTACAAAAAATTATCGGCCGGTGAGCCTAACGTGCATTTGTTGCAAAGTCATGAAGAGGATAGTCAAAAAATCCATAATGGAGTTCCTTGAAGAAAATGATTTCATTGCCAGTGCCCAACAGGGCTTTCGACGAAATCACTCCTGCCTAACTAATATGCTCTATTCAACGGAACAGTGGTCTCACTCGTTAGACGAAGGAACATGGGTCGATATCGTTTACATCGATTTCAAGAAAGCCTTTGATAGTGTTCCACACCGCCGGTTACTTTACAAGGTCCGAGAGTCATGGATAAGGGGAAACCTATTAAAATGGGTAAAGGACTGTCTGACTGGTCCATCACAGTCTGTGTGTATTGGTAGCGCGAAGTCAACGCCAGAGCCAGTTGTGAGTGGAGTTCCCCAGGGCTCTGTACTCGGACCAGTACTATTTTTATTTATGTAAACGACTGTATGAATGGACTGGACTGCAATGGAGTCATGTTTGCCGGTGACATCAAGTTTTGGCGAGCGATCAACGGCGAACATAATGAACGGGCCCTGCAAGAAGGACTGAACCGCCTATGCGAATGGTCTGACAAATGGCTGCTAAAGTTTAGCCTTGATAAGTGCGTCGCGCTGCGACTCAAAACGACTGGAAGAGCTGACGGAGAGGATCACCATTACCAACTTGGTGGAAGGTGCCTTTTAAATGTAACCGAACAAAAACGCCCTTGGATATACATTTTGTCGACCCTTAAGCCTTCATCTCAGTGCGTTAGGGCGGCCAAAACGGCAACCAGTGTTTTCTTTGCCAGTAAACGAACTTTCATAGGCATAGACAAAGAGTTATTTGGAAAAGTTAACGGGGCGTTCATTCGTTCGCATCTGGAATATGGAATCCAAGCGTGGCGCCCGTGGCTAAAAAAGACTATAAGTTGCTAGAAAGACTTCAGAGGAGAGCGACAAAAATTGTGAAAAACCTCAGGACTTTACCTTACAACTGCCGACTTAATAAACTAATACTTTTTCCTCTTGAGTACAGGCAGATTCGAGGAGGCCTCATACAGGCGTATCGGATACTGGGGAACCGGCACAGTGTCCTAAACCTCGATAATTTCTTCACCCTGGCTACAAAAACAAACCTGCGTGGGAACTCTCTAAAACTTAGAGGATCCCGATGCCGCCTGGACGTTTGCAGATACTGCTTTTCACCGCGAGTCGTCGGTGCCTGTAACGGGCTTCCCGAGGACGAGGATGTATATTTGCTTCGACATTACCGCTTGTCTGGACAGAACAGCTCGGTGGTGCCAAACCAACGCCTCGCATACACCTACCGCTAATGCGGATGACTGTCATTTCATTTTACCGAGATCCTCTATACTTGAATGTTCTTGAGTTTTGGTCCTGTATTTTCAATGAAAATATTGTCTTAAGTGTATATATTGCTCAAAACATTTAAGTACCATGTTTATTTAAAGTTGGATATTGCATGAACCGTTTACAATAGGGTGTTCAAAGGTTTTGCCTATTACCCTTAAAGTATACTGACCAAAAGCAGAATTCATGCGCTAGAGGAGGCTATTCACGTCAAAGTTGCGAGACGAGAGGAACGCAGACGCGATCTGTCCTAGTACGCTTCGAGTCCATACGAGTAGAGGGCAAGGGAAATATGGTCATGGAATCTCTTTGCAAACCGACCAAACTACTAGTAGATTGTGAATATAGAAAGTTCCGCCATGGGCGTCGACAGACAGCTTAGGGACGAAATGAGGAAATGTCACCGAGAAACACGAAAATCGTCGCTGTTGGAGAAGAGTAAAAACAGTGGACTTAGTAGCCAATTAAAAACAGGGAGTGGGAGTTTCCACGTAATCTACCATTAAATCTCTCGGGGACCCTTCTCAATGTCAAGATGCCGAGTGTTTGGAAATAATACGGCCAATAAGGACTTTACAATTCCCGTGGAACAGTGATTACACAATTTTGATTTGAATGACGATAACTTAAACGATGATTTAAGTTCTGGTGCAAAATTATTCGGAAGTAAGGCAAATTTATATGCAAAAGTGGGGGCGTTTAGATGTAGTGCGAAGGGGCGGTGGAACCAGCATACAGGAATTGCGCGTGGCATACGACCGATCTCTCGGAGTGAGTGTCAATGCACGGAAGATTGGAGCTAGAAATGGACATTCCAGTCTCCCTTGTCTTTGTCGGTAAAAACATTCTGCCCGTATCATGCGCCGCTGTGCGGCTGCTGGTTGTGCTCGAGAAAGAGAGTCCGTAGGGCACAACGGAACGAGTGAGTTCCGTAAGAACGATCGGTGAGCGTCTCTCCTTCACAGTTCGTTTTTATTTAGCCTCATGCGTGCTGACGTGCGAAAAAAAATAGAATCCACCCAAAATTTTTACGAAGAGTTTTAACCGCGGAATACCGGAATTTGTCATACCAATAACAGTGATGGCTTACAGGCCTGGATCCTTTGTGGTTTTGTTGATTATAAAAGGGACTATTTTTATTATTTACACTTTTATATAATCACATCTTTAACCAACTCACTAGTTTAAAACATCTTGTCCACTCCGACGTAACAGTCACCGTGAGGTCTTTGTCTGTTTGTTTCTTCAGCCAACAGCCACAACGATTCTTCAGTGCCTCTGTTTGGTTCAGCCCCAATTTCATGAAAAGAGGCGCCGACTGAAAATATTTGATGCAGTGCTACCCAGCCCTTTATAGACTGTCGTCATTTCATTAACAACAGCTTTTTTCCTCCTAAAACCTCCAAACTATACAAAACACCACCCTCTTTATTTAATTATCAGGCTTTTTTCACCGCTGACCGGACTTGTGTTTAATCTTTACCTGACATTGCCTGCAAACTTGGGTTAAATACTATTATGATTATTACTTTCTCTGATGGCGCTAACGTATATTTGGCTTTTCTGAGTTCGGCTCGTCATTACTTTTGGCGTCTCTGCAACACTTTTGTTAGACGTGGTTTTCCTATTCCCCATCAGTACCGTTATTGTGTCAGTGCGAGATCACGGTTTCGTCCAGTCTTAAAGCCTTGAGTGTGAATGATAAACATCCAAACGATGTTGTCTACATTCCCCTGGCTGAACGGATGTAGCTCACTTTTACGTGGTTGTCGGAGAGACATTCCGCACTTTGGGGATGATTACCTGTCGGTTGTGATTCCTAGTACATAGCAAGTTAAGTGCTTCCGGCAGGTTTATGTCAAACGCATTAGGATTTATTTCACACAAGACTGATAGGACATTATTGCATTAGTATAAGTTATTCCCTATAACGAATCACTTTCTCTCATTAAAATGACACGGAATGTTGGCGTCTGTTAATGAAGCCTTGAAAGTGGGTCTTGCTTGAAGCTGCAGCATCCTCTACTGACTAGTCGTGTAGTGCAGACGGGTTCGGACGATGCTTAGCCTGACAGGCCAATCTTGCTAAATATTTGCTTGTCCCATTGTTAATTAACGGGTTTCTCTGTCTGTTTGTCGCTTTCCGCTAAATAACACCTCTTTTTGGCACTTAGTACAGGTTATCTTTCTGCGGCACCACCCTGCAACTCGCATCCTCGGTATCGCAAATTCCTCTGTATTAATCTCTTAACTAATCATTAAATTTTGTCATACGAACTGCGCCTTCGCCTGCAGTAACACGACTGGGAATCATAAAAAGAGATATTATGTAACGGATTAATTTTAGGTCCTCAACCATCCCATACGCATTTTCTGTGGAAATTGAACTTAAGAACAGCTCACCAATGAAATTTCTCGAATGTTCTCAGATAGCCTGACCTTGATCCGCAAGTCGTGGTAAACAGTCATCCTGTGCTTTATAGTGTTTTTTAGTTAATTCAGGGGCTTTTTAACATTATAAGCTCATTATTGAGATAGTGCCTACAGTCTGCTTTTTTGCGGTTGTGTGCAGTTTTGCAGAAATTTATTTCCCACTTAAAGTGATCTCGTAACGCAAGACGGCGTGGAGTGTTCTTAAGAACACTCCACGCTGTCTTGCGTTACGAGATCAGTAATGAACGCCTTACAGCAAGTCAGTTGATTGTTTGGAATCGAGTGCTGCCCAGTTCAGTCGCCGGTAGCCCCTCTTCACTCCCTGCCGTATTCGGTGGATATTTGTAGATTTCGACCCTCTTCACCAACGAGAACTGTATATCAAGGGGTCGTAATCTTTTCTGCCTGTGCCCCGTATGTTTTTTGTGTTGACCTTCCAATTATGTAGTTTTATTGAATTAAATGCCGCACGTTAAGCTCATGGGGCGGGTGGCAACCAATGTGTCTAAACCACCACAAAAGCCTTTCGAGTGGCCTTCCATATCGTTACTATGTCACTGCTTACTTGACACGACATCTGTATATCTCATTCCGATGGCTTTTACCTGGCAACGAGGGCCGGAAATCTCCGGTTTTCGCTAGTCCTACACCCATAGCTTACCGTTAACAACTGTGGAGTAGGACTGGCCGAATGTATGCTCACTTTGTGGCGATTAAGATATCGTTGCGATCCCGTGTACGCTCTCACAAACGTGCAAACCTTCAGACAGCATCGATGAAGTTGACACTATTGCCCTGATTTTGTTTGCTTGACAGCATCGTGGCCCAAAGACATTCAAAAACTCAACTTATTTGAGTTGACAGCCATCCATCACGTGATTTATCTCCTCTTGGTTAGAGCTACATTTCGAGATCTGGTTTTAGCTGCGTTAATGAATAAACCGACTGGTTTGGCAAACTTATTCATCCGAAACGGCATTCTGTAGGCCGATAAAGCCTTACTTTAGTAGAACAACATTTCCAGCGTAATTGAGGTCGGTCGGTTGATGTTAGATAAAAATTCGAAGGTTGCAGCGGTGCGGAGCCCCTTCAGTAATCTACTGAATGGCAGTTAACTAGGACTAATCACACGTTACAGCCTTGTGCGTCAGACTATATCAGCTGACTGGAAGAGGTTGTTGTGAATGGGGGCATGCGCTTTGGTTGCACGATAATTAGCACTGATAAGCGGCGTAAGGACTCGCAATATACGACATTGAGTGCTGCAGCGAACCCGACAAAGCGGACAGCAGCCGACTGTTGGTAGCCATGTCGATGTTCGAGGATGCACCACAGTACCATTTTTGATTGAAACGTCCGTCCCCAGCATAGACCCCGTTTGACGAAAATGTTGGTTGGCTGTTGTTTGCTTTTCACCTCAGTCATGCTGACGTTTGAGAACGTGCTTTTTATCTTTGCATAATTCTGCTAGTCATTTTACAGCCACAATTATACTGGTATGCCAGGTTTCACACTTGAAAAGTTAACTCTACAGCCTGGCCGTTAATAAGGGCTCTTCTATGAATAGATGCTACTGCTTTTGAGGACTACCATTCTGACCTGTTTTCAGAAAACCGAAAGAATGTCGCAGGGAGCCGCTCTTTTCGATCGTCCTGTGCCAACTCAGCAACCACGACATCTGCTGCAATTTAAGGCTGGAAAGATGACGATGAAGAGCGATCGCTGGGTTCACCCGGATCCGCGCAAGGGCTGCGCCTATCTCTACCAGTCAAGTGACTCGAAAGTGCACTTCTGTTGGTTTGACCGTCGGACGGGTCTGGTGGAAGACGTATGCAAATAGTATCTTTGATTGACTTCCCTAGAATTTTGTTCTCGTTCCAAAACAAACCGAATTCAAACCTGTTTCGCAGTGCAAGTCAGGCCGAGTGTATGTTCTAAAAAACAAGGATCAGCGTCTGTTCATTTGGATGCAAGAGCCGGATGCCAAGAATGACTCCGAGATTTGCGATTCTGTGAACCGGTTTATTGATTCTCCACCGCCGGCCACGCGTATGTGTATGTCTCTCCTTTAGGTCTTATGCAGTTTTTAGCTGATCTTCTTGGAAGCATACGAGGATTGTCCGGGTTGAGCCAGAACGATCTGCTAGCCCTCCTTTGTAAGAAGTTTCCTTGTATGCTAAATTGAACTTACATTTAGCGATGGGCGTCGGACTTGGTAGCGGATTGTCGTCGGATACTGACACGTAAGTAATCATTCGCCAATTTATTTAGGAAACTTCTTAAAGTTGGCGGTCAGGCCGTGCAATTTGCGCGAAGGTTTTAGAAGGCATGGCGGATCGCACTTTCTGTGCTTTATGTGTTTAAAGTTGAGCTACTTCGCCGGGTCCACACCGTTCCGCATTTCTTTATTCATATCAGTCTGGCGACCCTTTTTACACAATCGCATAAAGTTTTGGCGTCATAGTTTCCCGACTGCCCTTTCAACTGGGTTGCACCTGGGAAGCACCTTCTTCTAGTTTGTTGTTCGAGAGAAATATAAGCATATAGCGCAGAAAGATTTGGACCATTTTTAAGGAAATGCAGCCACGCAACTCCTTTTATCAACATGAGACCTAATCCGAGGAGAGAAGAAAGCTGATAAAACTGTCTGATTACCTTGCCACACAGCAACACATTAGATGTGTAAGGAATATCAAATAACGTACGACGTTTAAGGTGTGGCAATCTAGCAAAACATTACTGGCTAGGTCACAACAGATCGAGGAATTGCGAAAACCAGAAAACGAGCACTATAGGCCGGAAGTGAAACAGTGATGTTTCTTTTGTAACGCTTCGCCTTTTACAGCGCTAAGCTATCCTTGCCGACTTATTATGTTCGGAATTACTAACAGTTTGGCGTGCGCCACGGTGCACTTCGTAGCTACTGTCATTCCTAAGCTTTTACTAACGTTTGATGTTGGATATCGTGCCGACAATGACCAACGCCTACGTGTTTCTGCTCCCTACAGCTCATCTGCTCAGGCCTTAGCCGCCTCCACTGGCATGCATCTGAACATGAGTCGGGTCGAGTCACCGGCTGTGCATTCGGCTGCACCCACCGTGCCCCTGATACGTCCTAGTGCTTCTTCCACTGCCGGCACAACAGAGGCAAGCCACCTCTCTGGCCCGTCACCAGTACGCTCCTTTGATTTTTTCGTACTCCGTTGTTAATCGGCTGGTTCCTCATCCTTGTCTGTTGTCGGCTTTTTCGTGTCAGCCGCGCTTAGGTTGCATTCACTCGTCGAGGTTTGTTGAGCTTATGCTTACGTCGAATGCAGCCTGACTGTCGTATAAGCAGCGGATCCTTAGGCTGAACGTCCCTCTGACGTTTGCTACCTTTACGCACTGAGCAAACGGAAGCACAGTAAAATGTCACGGACTAAGCTTACCTGAAATTAATGCGCATACGATCACGCCCGGTCTTGCTGACCACGACGATTCCCCTTCCGATGTATCCCCACTCTCAACGGCCTGTGGCATTGGGTCTGGTAAGCTCCAACCACTGTCTTATCCCTTACAAGAGACCGGCTGTTATGGATCTGAAAACAACTTTATCATCGTGATGCACATTATCCATTCCGTGTTTGAATTTGCTGCCTCTGTCGCTTTCGGTGAAGGGACGGCGTTGAATTAGGAGTAATATTAAACTCGCTGAGTGGGTGATGAACAGCGCGATCTTTCTTGTGTAACTTAGGTTTCCTCTGCTATGTGGTGAATGCAGACTGTCCTTTGAGACGAATTCTGTTCAGATCACCCGAGCAACTGTTCTCACAAAATACGTCGTGGAACCAGCTTCCCATTGTATTCTCCAGTTACTACTTTGTTCAAGCAAGATGAGTGGCAATCTGTGTTCTTCTTAAACATCTAATCGAATATTTAATTGCCACAGTGCAAGCATATGTGAAGTGGCAGTAGATTCTGAACACCTCAACATCTTTGTTGCCGGTCCACCGTCTAGTTCCATTATTTCCCACGAAGACCGACGATAGACGTAGTCAAAAAGTACATTTAAATAATAAGACCGACGGCCGTTGTTTGTTGGTAGCCACGGCGGAATCCGGTAACTCGTCCACCTGGAAGCCCAGTCTGACTGCACCTTACCCTCACACTAGGCATATTTAGATCTGAGAATGCCGATAGAAAGTGCTTTTTTTTCTATAAAATACAAGATTTTCTGCGGCATCTGTTATGTTTTATTTTATCTCCCTACACACACGGCAACGAACTTCATCTGTACTTTGGTCTACTCGGTCAAACGCGTATGCACGTCAACAACAAGTTTAATGTCACACATCGCCTATGCGGCGACCATTGGACGTCGTTTTGGTAGACCAAAGGTAGGAAAGACAGTGTACAACCTTATGTTAAGTTTGTGCTTTTCGAGGAAGTGTAGTAATGCCAAACACCGGCGTTTGTGAGGTACACGGGAACGCCAGCTTCTGGCCGTCGCGACTTCCCCTAGCCATCGGTGAGCAACGGGTGTGAGGAGGATGATGTGAGTGAAACGCAAGTCCGCTTTACTGTGAACAAATCCAAGCGCAAATCACGACTGCGTCCACATCGTGGGCCTGGGATGGACCCCGTTGATTACCACTATTGACCTATCAAGATGGCCAGAAGGTAAGACGGGAAGGCGCATCTGTCCGTCAGCCTAGCAGCTGTGGCATCTGGCGTGTTTGCGGGCGGCGAATAGTGAAACCGTCCTTAGTGAAGGTTATTTTTGAAATAATCAGACTTGCTCCCGACGACCAGCAGCCACAGAGCAGGGAGGGGTTGAAGTCATTGGCAGCGCCAGCCGGACTGATAAGGTTACGGCGACATCGCGTCCGTGAACCGCCACTGAATAAGTTCGTTTGTTACCACAACCTTGCAGCTAGAGTAAATCACGCTAAAACACAGGAGGAGACAACCTCAAACCAAATATTCGGACGACTATTGAGGTTAAGTATGTATCTAATATCCCAAAGAACGTATTGAATGTCCGGGCCATTATTACGACCTATGCCAAGGGGTCCGTGCTAACCAACCTATTTCTACTACTGCCCAGTAAACAAAAATCCGTGCATAGTCAAGGACCAGGGAACTCAACATGCAGGAAATCCCTAGACCTCAATGGCGTGCAGGCGCCTCAATCCCAAATCTCCCCTTATTTAGCATCGTCCACTGCAGCTTTATCGAGCCTCCGAACACCACAACTGTTGCCGTCAGTCCATTCCCAATTTGTTTCGTTGGTTTTACTTCTGCACCTCACTTTGTTCATTGGAGTTCTTCGTGGTCGATCATTCTGCACGATAGCACGTTATCGAAGTTACTTCGCTTGTTGTCTTTCGAGCCGTTTCTCCAACTGGTGACGATACACTCGGTCAAGGATCCGACTTCGCTCTTTCTGTCTGCTGACCGAGATGGTTCGACCATGCACTGCACCAACCTGAAGGCCAACTTGCCCAACGACCCGTGTTGGTGACGGCATCGAGGTAGGCAACTACGTGTCGGTGGCTATCGTGAAAGTTAGGCTCGAATGCATTTCTTGCCGTGGGGTTCCCGTCTACAAGACTGGCATGCTAAGTGGATCTGTTTCACCTTAGAGTCTACGTACAACTGCAGCGCTGTGCCGACCCTGCAACATGGAACCGGTCATGCTCGCTGCCGTCACAAGGATGGTCGGACCCCGGTTTTCACATGCCATTTTATTTTATTGCGCTTATCAAATTCCCTCATTGACCTAGGATGCCAGAACGTCGATACAGGACTGTACTTACTTTTACTTGGTACAGCTGCGATCATATCTGATCTATCCGGCCTCGATGGTGTCACGGACTGTACTTCGCCACGCGTTACGATCTGCGGTATCAGATCCGGACAGCTCAACCCATTCTCTTCGCCAGCGGCAGAGACCAGATACCAAAGGTCCGAGAACCACCTCCATGTCGTGACGGATTTTGTCGAGCCAGGTTTTGAGTCGACCCCCGCTTCGACGCCTCTAAATGAGTAACGGTGCCGGGTGGAGGACAGCAACACTGACCTCTTGAGGTGGACGATAAAGAACCTGTCCAAACCACCATAGTCGTCTTTCTTGGGTGGCCTAAGATATCCTTGTGGTTGTCGCAGCGAGTGGGGACTGTCTCATTTGAGACGAAGTCGGGGTCCTTCACACGGAGGATGGTCCTCGTGCAGTGATGGTCACATACCTCCAGTTGTCGCTCATCTCCCACGCGCACAGCCCAGCATTCACAACCGTACAGAATGACTGACTAAACGAATGTATGGTACATGCGAATCTCCGTGGTGATGGAGATGTCGCGTCGGATCCACAGGCATTGCTAGTATGCCTTTATCATGGCGATGCTTTTGGTCGTCACGTCATCTAGTTCCATTACTCGCCGCATGGACTCATGATAACGGAATCGGACGCGGCAGCAAAGCCAACAAAACAGACGGTAGTTTGTCGTTGGTAGCTATGACGAAATGCGAGTATGTGCCTCAGTGTAGATATCTGGTCTGTACATCCACGCCGAGCTCGAAATCCGGCCTGGCTAGGCCTCAGTGTCGAGGGCGGATAATTTGGTACGGTTCTCGAGTGTCAACAACGTTTAAGGCCTGCTCCATATAGGTTGCTGTATCAGCCAAATATTTCTTCCAGTCATCCCTAGCCGATTTTTCCGTCATTTTCCGGAGTTGGTGGAAGGAATCATCGTTACAGGACCTGGATTGATCAGTTTGAGCAGACAACTGTTGAGTTTCCCCGATGATCCAGTCCCTGCTGCGTTGCTGAGTGTGTCCGAGAATTCTCTCTGGTGTCCCATAGACTGATAACTTTGATTATGGTCAATGGCTACTGCGTTCTCCGACGGCTTTGGTGTTAAAACAGCTGGATTCCCCTGCCCACGACTTCGGTGGTTTTGTGACACCAAGGCGTCTTGTGCGCGGCAATTTGGGTGCAGGGGAGAGGTGAACTTTCTAGCGTGTGCAAACGAAAATATAGTCCGACCCCTGGGCATTACCAGTTCCGGTACCACACATCGATCTACTATCGTGAACCCAGCTGTGGAACCTTGAACCGACTAGAATGTAAACGGTGTGACCGGCCGTATGACCCTCGTTTGAGCACCAGGCCAGCAGATGTTTGTGACGATACTGGAAGCACGTGTTGGGGGCAAATAGTCCGTTCTGATCAACAAATTTCAACATTCTCTCTTCATTGTCGCATCGCGAACCAAGCCCAAAGCGGCCGATAAAACAACTGAAGAATGGCCAGGTGCAGTATGGCCATTTCAGACTCCGGCAACAACCAGCAGATCACGACGGGGGAGTCCTTCAACTAACGCCTGCGCCTACAACAGAATGAGAACAGACCTGAACCACCTTTATGATTCTTCTGTCGACTTGGGCTCCGCAGCACCCCTGAATGGGTCCAATAGTTATTTCAGTCGCTTCAAAGACTGCAAATTCAAACCACTAACAAGCATTCGATGTGAGGCCGAGTGCATGTTTTCAGAGCCGCGGGCTGTTGTACTTTATCGGGGTTATGTTAGGGTTAGTTTTCGGGTGCCTGTGAAGGCGAGTATGCCATCCCAGCCCCACACACCGGTTCCCTGTCATATGCATCAGAAGAACCCTTGGCTGGTAATTGGCTTTCCATCTTACCCATTTTTGTGGTCCATCCACGTACTTTTTTTCGCGTCTCGTTAATTTGACATTCACTGAAGCTGTTGTCATTAACAGGCTCGTTTTCGGCTGCAAGACCTCCACTCCATCCTCTCGGCTGTCCAACCCGGACCTTCTGTTGGTAAGTCAAGTTGTGCGTCTGCCCCACCCACCGAACTTCGCGCATATCCTCAGCGGTCACGAAGCCACCCCTGTCAGACTCTTACCTTTTATCACTAGTCCTCTCTTTAAAGATTCCAGGAGAGCCACATTTTCATATTCCCTACTATCACAACATCCCAGGCACCTGAACCTGCCTAAGTGTTATCCTCGCTTTACTCTCTCTCTCTCTCTCTCCCTCTCTCTCTCTCTCCCTCTCTCTCTCTAGATTCTCCTGCATTGAAATTCACGCCGACGACCATAGTAATTGCGTGCCTTGCTTCAATCCTATTGAGCCCCACTGACTTCATCCGCGCCATGATCGTCTTTTATGATCAGCGAGATGATTTTAAATATTTTTTTCATATCGATGGAGTTACGATCGTCTCATCAAGGCACGTGTTTCGCTGGTTTTATGTCGCCGTGTTGTTCATTAGCTTGTGTTGATAATGGATCCGGGCTCCTTTAGAAGTCATGTGGGTAGTTAAATTTCTCGGCTTTTTCCAGATTTATGGGCTGAAAAGCCCCCACGTCTGCAGCGCTTGACTTGATCAGACTTGCGTACTGATATGCGTAAACGTATATCTCTCCGTTCTGTTCTGTCGGAAGGACTCTTACCAAACTATCAAAACGGAAACCCTACCCATCGCCACTACTGCTCTGCGCCCGAAAAATTTCGAATTATCTAGCATTCTAAATTGCTTGTCGCTCATGCGCATCAGGATTAAGCAGCACGTTATCGAGGTCCACCGTCATTCATTGCCTACGGACCGTTAGCGGTATTTAAACTAAAAGAAAGCCTCTTGTGCACGAAATTTTCGGGGCCGCTATGCAAAGTTTGCCTTTGTCCGAAATGTAAAAAGAGAGACACGGACACCGGTTCCTATGCATTTACCCGCACTCAGTTGTCTGAACTATCACCGAACATCTGCACACTGTCTGCAGTCATACTTGGCGCCGTCATTATCGGGGGCTGGGCACAGTGCATAATAAAGCCACTTTGCGCACTCATGTTACTGATAAGGAACGTAATAGCCCCCCTAAAATTTTGTTTGATTTTACATTCACCTAATATTTAAGAGCATTTTTTCCCGTTAATCCGAAATTGACTCTTCGATAATGTCAACAGTTGGTGTAATTCAGCTGCCTATCAGATCACTAATTCTGTTGCCCGCTCTTAACAATTTAACCAATCCTCCCGTTTGTGGCCTCCCCTCAGCTGCGAAGATTGATTTGTCCGAGGGTATAAACGCGGACTCTGTGCGCGACCTTCTGCCAAAGAAAGACGTGGAGGACCGTTTAGCCATCCACCTTCCTCCCCGGGATCCCGAGGACAAGACTTTAACTGCCGCCGAAAACATCATTACCAACGTCCAGTCTGCGCAGTTCCAGTCTGCCCTCAAGGTATTTATGAGCGTAACTTTGGCTCTTCGGTGTCAGCTGATTTCCTCCTTGGCCTCCTGCATTGAACTTTTTCGGCTTGGTTGGCGAATATATCCCAACACTACCACAATCTTAAGGCCAAGTTCCGCTAGACATTAGCCGAGGTGCGCCGGTAGGACGTGTTTTATTTTGCACAGACGTCGGGAACGCAGTCGTAGCAGTGTACGTTGGTCGCTCTCCAACGGACTGCACTGGTCAAACAGAGGTGGGCACGATTTAGGAACTTGCGGTAGCGCACGTCACTGTCAGCGGCAGAAAGTCCATAACTGAACTGGCTGACTTTTAATTGGCCTTCCTATTGAAGCCCCACCCGTGCCGACTTTTGCGTCAGACCTTCCGTGTCAACCACAGTGGTAAGGCTGATATAGGACCAGGGTCTACGAATTCATCTCTGTCAGGAGTGGCTTTTAACTGCAGAGGATGACCTTCTTTCGCCCCACCATTTTACTAACGCAGCACCTGTTAGGTGACTGGTATGTCAGTTGGCGGAATCGGTGTGTCAATGTCACGCTTCCTGCAGTTGGCCCGAAGCTCGGCCACCCGATTAACCAAAGGCCGTCACTCGCTCGACGGAGAAGTTATGCCTCAAATTATTTAGCGGATACCAGGAACAGTGTGTCTTTTCTCGATGTAGGTGGTCGCTTTTACGCGCCTGGGAACGATTACGTAGCTACTACTTCTAATTTCGCGTGCTATTGAGCCCAATAGTCGTGTTTTTAAGATGGACCTGCCGCAATGCCTTGTGGTCGAGCATGCCATTCCACGCGTACTCATATCGTGATTCCGCTTGTCGGGTGCTGTGGAGCAGCTTTGCACTTCCGCCTTACGCAGGAAACTGTTACTCCTAAAGTCTTTCCAAGGTCGCCGGCTGTATTGAATCATCAGTGTCTTTGTGCTTGTTTTTGCCGCATGTTTTAACTAAAGGGGCCTCATAGCTCGTAATTTTATGAATCCGCATATTCTGCTCTATACTTATGGTTGTCAACTATGCAGGCGCTGCGTCCGGCTATCACACCATACGCAGCCACGAGCATGCACGACCGAGTTATTTGTCAGGATGGCCCTGCACTAATTTCGTCAGTTCTTCTTACAGCTTGCTCTCGCAACAGCTGTACCAGGTCGGACACGAGCTTTAACAAGTGACTTTCGAGGTTTTTCATTGCTACTTCTCCGTGATTAGTCATCACTGCGCGACAGTTCGGGTAAACTCTACACTCGGATCGTCGAGGCAAGCTGAAAACTCCCGATTCCCTTCCCTAGTCAGGAGAGACCAATAAATGTCACTTGTTGGATGTTAGTCGTGAAACTGGTGGATTCCTTGGCTTAACCCCTTAAAGTGGTGATCGTTCACATTCTCCGATGAAAACTCTTCCCATGGATCCCGAAATAATTCCCTGTACAGTCATTGGATGATCCATTTATAGGTCTCCTTGAATTGTCCGAGATTATTGACCCTGGCTGTCTCTTCTGACTTTTCTGTCGTATTCTGCAGGCTCTTCATCTGATATGGGGCGTAATGTGTTTCACCGGAAGAGCTTTAGGTAAAGACTCCTACGCACTTTGGGTTGGCATGTCGTGCCTCGAACGGGACTCTATCTGAGACGTCAGGCAGACGGTTGTGGCTGTTCGACTTGTTCGTTCCTGTATCAGTCGTTACGAAAAAAAACAATTTAAGACGATGGCGACAAAAATAATCTCATTGACCGATGTTGTGTCGTTAAAGCAGTCTCGTTTATCGCAGCTTTCGAGGTAAAACGTACACGATTGCATGGTGCATCACTTTTGCATCCCAATTTACTTTCTTATTGTTCTAGCTCCATGTTCATGAGAATACTGTGCGCTCGGAAATGACAACATTGTTTCTCGCTTTGAATCCAGGAAAGACATGACGCAGTGCGTTTATGTTCCTTTCCTTGAATAAAGATCTTTGTACTTGTCGCCTGTCGACCACATTAGTATGTAAATTTCAAAGCTCCGCAGATTCCTTCTCGCGTGCATCTCTACTTCGTTTGAAATTCCGCCTTCTCACTGATTAAATCGCGCGGCTCCTATTTGTCACTAGTTTTCGGAGTTTATTGACATGCCCGTGGATGCCACTTGCTCTCAATTTTGTGTACGAGTTTCAGCTCCTTCCTGTACATTGGCCCAAAGGCCTTCTGTTTACAAGCCCCATGTACTTCATCTTTCAGTCATTTTCCGAGGCCTTTTCTTCTGGCGAATTGGCTCCCGTAATGTCCCAATTCAAACTCTGCGATGGCGCCGTGGACGCCGCCAAAACCGGGGGTATGTTTCCCACATTTGGTTTCCGCCAACGTTGTTTAATGGCTTATTCCGTCAGTTTCTGGGCCGCTTGATTGCTCTTACTTCAGCCCTTATTACGAAAAAACAGTAGCGATTAAGAGAGTAGACTCAATGGGCCAGCCTTTGGATTTGGACGATACAATGCGGTTGACGAAACACACACACCTCGGATCTACCGTCTTATGTTTTCCGCCTTTACCCTGTTCCTTTACATCTACATGAATGTGGTCTGGTGTTAAACTGCTGCTCATTTTTACTCTTCGGCGACAGGCTTTACCTGTGCACCGTTAGTCTAGGTAAGTGCGCGCAATCGGAAATCGGCAGTACTGTTAAACTGGTGCCCTCGTGCTCCCTGTCCACGACCTATATCCAGTAACGCTACAGTAAGACAACTATGCCAGATTGCTCTACTGGGTCCGCCTGTGATGATCAGACGCCGTGATGGTCCCTCGTCAGCATATCGAAATAACAGTTCATAGGGACAAAAGCAACCTCTTATTCTAACAGCGGCCAGGATGCCGTCTGTTTGCAGTTTAATGAGGCCAGGGTTGTCTGCTGGCACATCACCACAAACATATTTGTTTAGTGTTTCAGAGTTTTACACTGTTGTTTTCACATTTGGCTTTCCACCTGCACTGAATCTCAAGACTGCTGATACGTATTTAACTCTATCGGGGATAAGTTAACACCTACCTTAACAACTCCCCCGTGTTAAGCACTGGCTGTCTCAAATTTCCGCCTATTGTCTGTGCACCGCCCCAGATCTGGAAGCCTTGGCAACCGCCCTTCAGGACGCCAGCAATTCAGAGACGAACCGAGAGTCCAACGCCACTGCTGACGCCTCCGAGGCCGATCCAATGGAGAAAGACGGCAGCCAGTCCAAGCCGGACAAAGGTGGATCCGAGAAGATGGATACATCTTAAGTAGATTGCGCCATCCCATAATGGAGAAATAGGGAATTGCTGTACTGTTTCCCTCTACATACCTCTCAAATCTCATCGCCCACTTCTCATCCTTCTTTAGAGCCCCATTCAAATTCATCCACCCCTTTTCGCCATAAATATCAGAAAGTTATTTCTCGATTGTCCTTCTCTGGATGCCTCAGTAGACTGGTTATCCTGCCTTCCATAACCACCATATCAAATCGACTCGCGAATGCTTCCACTCCTCCCACTCGGCAATTCTACCCACAGTTTACAAGTGTATGAGAATGCGCATGTGGCCTGAGTGTGCAGGGGTGTAAGGCTTCGTAACTTCCACCATTTTTGCTGCACGTCGAGGAACTCCGCCCTGCCCCACTTCTATTTTGCCCTTGCAGTCGTCAAAAGCACTGCTAAGTGTGTCATGTGTTCATTTTTTATTCAACTTCATTTGTGTTGGAAACAGCTACGCTTCCGTTTGCATACACACACTGGCGTTTCTCGGGCTGCTTCTACTGACGATGCTCCTGGCATTATGACTGTCCTTTCGACATTAATATTATTGCTGGACCCCTGTGTCTCATTAAGTCTGATCAGTCCAACTCCCCCATCCCTGTTGGCGCAGTGTCTTCTCGTGCCACCCTGGTCCCCCTTTTAGGACGGCGGCTAATTTCCCCTCGTTGATTTAAAGCGTTAACTCAAACTACGTGGAATAGAGGCCATGCGTTTTAGAATATTCAGAACTAGTGTACCCTCCCCGCTACTACGCCAAACAGGTCATTCCTCCGGTAATATTTGTTCCCCAAGCCTTTCTAGTATGCATTTTTGACCGTCAGCCGGCCAAATGCACTCAAACGGCCTTCTGCTGACCGCATCAAGGAAACATTTGAACAATCGGGCCTGAGGTCGTTATTCGAACACATCCAGTCAAACTACGTTGGGGTGGTGGAGTAGAAATGTGCGTTTTACCATTCGACATTCCCAACGCCAAATGATTTCGAGGTTGGCAATGTCAGATTCCCATTCCATCGGTTTATGTTGACGCCATACTTCCCTCCAATTTGCGGATGTCTGTCAGCCATTTTTATCGCCTTCGAACCCATCCCATGCTAGAATGCCTAAGAAACTACCCGACTCTCACGACCGCGTACTCCATTGCGCTTTCCTGCAATCGGCCCGGTCCCAAAGCAGTGCAGACCAGGGCTACAATCGTGCAAAAATTTCCATTGACTAATTGGAACACCACGTGTTTTAACAGTTTTATTTTGGCCAGACTGTAAAGTCCCTTCTATGCTGAAGCAATACTTTGAGCAGACCTTCAGCGTTTCGTGGTGGTTTTCGGACCCAAATGGCTGTGAAGGACCGACGAACTGCCGAAAATTCAGATGCTCCATGCAGATCTTAAACTTCCGTAGGATTCTTTCTCGCTCTTGCTTACAGGCCCTGGCCCGCCAAAAGGTATTACCGCTAGTGGCCATGGCAATTTTGCGGGGACTTGCGAGCGAGGGCCGCCGTGGCATCTGGCACAGCAGACGGGTCCACGAAAGTCGAGAGCGAGCATTGAAAAGTGGGCTTGTGGAGGCAACATTGGGAGTTTTCTGGGGTTTAGTTCTTTTGCCATCTTTAGCCGCTTTTGATGTTTAGGGCCGAGTAGTGTCAGCCTTCGTGTAGCAAGTATCTTCGTCGAGGATAGGTTCAGCCCCAGCACTTTAATGCAAATACATGCAACGCCGTAACCATCTGAACTACGAGACCTCATCGGGAGCAGTGAGTTTAATCACATTTGGATCAAGTTACCTAATTCCGATACAGTAAACTGACTGCCCAATTAGCATTTATCTCCTTATCGATATGGAAACCACTAGATGACAATCAGGCTCATTGAAGTGATAGGGGTCTTGGCAGATATCGAATAGTTCTTTCTAATGATTGTCAGACGAAATTATCCTAAATCTGTCAAAATTCATATTAGTGTACTTTTATCGTTTTGATAAATAATCTGTTGCAGACGTTTAGTTTGTTTCCATAACAGACACTCGAACAGAATAAGTTTGAAACGAAAATCAGGAGGGCGCACCCGACGCCCTATGTCTGGCAGTTTCGTCAGTAATGTGTGTAATACCGTGAGCACTATAGGTCCCCAGGCTTACATAACACATGTGTTGAATGGAACAAAAAAGGGCAGGGTAACACTGCGAACAATTGTGAAAAATTGTTGTAATGACGTTTTGGAGCTACAACGTTCAAATATGCAAAGCCAGTATGCAACAAAGACGTGCTGTTCTCAGACGCTTCCCACTTCTAGTTCGATAAATCTCTGAAACTGTGTGGATTTACACGGCGAATGGATGCCAGTCGCTCAGTCCCAGTATTCACTACCAATAATCATCCCCTAGTTTATTTTCTACCACTTTGGCGACATTTTTGCCTTTCCTCAGTAAACCGAACGTCGTGAATCTAGAAGGAGACCTGAAGTCCACGACAGCTGCGATATGTTCACATGGTTCGTCACAACCTACCGACAAAGACCTGACATCCACCCTCAGCCTATTATCGTCAACCAAGTTAATTGTTATTTTCTGTCCTTTACTTAATGAATACGAAGTGTATACTCTTCGGGGTGCTCATATTCATCCACGTTTTTGCCTTGCTTGGGAGATGTCTACGATGGCAGCAACGCCTGCGAGTGCTCTAAGTCGCTTTTGGTTGGACAATGTAATGTACATTAATTATAGTCAGATACTCCCTCTGCGAACGCCCAGAGTAGTTCGTCAACTCTGCTTCGGTCTATGCTGGTTTCTCCACAAAGGCGATGTGAAATTCGCCCACTTCCAGCATCAGTGCAGGCTCCTATCTTCGAACAACGCCCGTGCCGACCCCCCCTCCCCCCTGCTAGCCGCCGGTGTCATCACCTCCACAGATCTGCTGACGTCATACTTTGAGTAAACGTTATAAACCGGCCTCAACAGGATCAATTGAAAGCATACATTTGTGAACTCTCGTCCGCGTCCGTTATGAAAGACATATGGTTCGGGTTCGCCAAAGGGTAATTCACACAGTGAATCTTTTTCCTGCGCCCTTACAAACTGAGCTTCAGTTCGATGCGTTTTATGCATCACTTGGGGTTGCTAGTTAGTCAACGAACGATACTTCTTTACTTCCTTACTATCAAGCATCCTTAGGTCTTGTTGATATTTAACGATACGCTTATAGCAGAGACACCACGGCGAAATTTACTTATGGGAATGATAACGAAACTAAGAATTTCTCGGCGACGTATTCGTACGAAGAGGTTCAAAGTACATCTTCACAGTACCCAAAGCCTCGTAGTTCCTGCAGAAGTCTCTCTCAGGTGGGGCCGAGGAAGGGTCGGCAAGATGATTGAAGTCATCAGGGCGTTCTGAAGTGCTTTCAAAGACCTTACAGATCGGTTAGAAAGTGGACATGACAGTGGATCGGCCGTCACTCATTAGTGTGTGTCCTTCAAAACTGCCCTTCTATTGCAGTACTTTCACATTATCACGTCTTGTATGGCCCAAATAAAGGCTTGGATGTCATGTGCGACGACGCCATTACTGACATATGACGTAGATCCCATTGTAATTTACATTTGGATTTGTGGTTGGACGCTGAAATATGGATTCCACGTATTTCAGGTGGTCTTTCCCTAGATTCCAGGCGAGAGACGTTGATGTTAGGACAACGGTTAGGGGGTAAAAGTTAAGGTTAAAGTAAGGTTAAGGGCAATTGCTAGGGTTATGGCCACAGGACGCGAGAGTAGGAACCCTGGAATTCAGCGTGAGACCACCTGCAGCATTGATGGATTCATATTCCACCATCCGACCGAATTTTTCTATGGCAGAGCAGGCTTCCGAAGCATCTGCCCTACCAACTCTACCCATACCCATCACGTTTCCATGGCAAGGCAAAGTGAAAGTGGGCGTGATCGCAGTAACAGATAAAGTTCGGCTGTTTGTCTCTGCATGCTGCACGTGAGCCAATCCCTAACTGCACACTACCCGGCTTCATTTAGGGGAATCACGGGTCTCACTTAATCTAGAGTGCTACAACGACCATATTAAGAAGGGGGTAACTGTAGCCCGACCCACAACCCTGACTAGGGCTGAACTACCGCATCATTTTGCAGCCGCCTGCATCAAAGCTGCTGGCAAAAATTACGCTACAGGGACATTCTGCGAACCTCCCGTGGGAGTCTACAAATCAATCCAGTAACTTTGGAGGACTCCGTTTAGGATCGGCAGCATGGAGAAGGGCAGTGAAGAACGAAGCATCAATCTATGAACCCAACAGATTGCCGCTACCAATGCCGAAAAAGACGCCCGCAAGTCTCCAACACCTCTGTCCCACAGTGCTACCACCCAAACCCTCCCATAGCGTCCCCACTGTCAACGGACATTCGGCACACTGATCGACCTTTTCGGACATCTTCGCGCCCAATACAATAACACCAATACCATCCCACCTACTGCCTCCGCAAAAGTCTCCACCGTAACACCTATCGCAAGCCTCACGACGACCGTCACCCCCACCACTTCTGAGAGCACTCCCGATGTCCCGCCACCGCCGCAGCCCACAAATCCCTACCATTACCTCCGCAAACCCCGCGGCGACGACTACCGCTCATTCCATTTCCACCACCGGTAGGGACGTTCCCGACACCCCATCCTCTTCATCAACGCCACCGCCCCTACTACCAGCAATACGGACTCCATCCCAATCGGTTCTCATTGCGGTCGTACCTTCACATCACGCACAAGCCTAGTCAGCCACTTGCTAGTCCGTCGCACTGAGGCCAGGGAATAAGTTCCAGGAGCGCCAATGTACACCGCCGTAACCGCCCCAACTGCCCACTCTGTCCACAGACAGTCAGTCGCCGCATGAGCCTACATGTGCCTCTATGGAAATCTGCGGTAAAACACTCTGGACAAAAATCCTTCATTACACCTCGCCACCGAACCATACACCACACATGAATCCCTCTC